GGTCGCCTGCCCTGTGTTACACCCAGAGAACTAAACCTTTTGCCTGGCCCCCGATATTCTGCTGGCTGCTCCTGCACCGGAGCAGACACAGAGAAAAAGATGGCAAGAGGAGGAGCTGCTGCAGCTGGCTGGGGTGGGGGACAGCCAAGCACCTCCAGCACTCCTGTGGCTCACTTCAGTGGGACGCAGGCACTCTTTGTCCCACAGCATCCAGAGATGGGCAGTAAAAGTAGGGGGGAAATTCCCGTTAACTCTCACCTAAAAGTTACGTGGCTTCTTTATTCCCAGATTATTTAAATCTTTTCCCTTTTCCCACCTGATGTTTCCCCTCATCAAAAAATTGGCTTGGCTTACAGCGAAACATTTCCCTGACGCTTCCAGTTCTTTGTTGTGGAAAGTACAAGCAGGAGGAAGGCTTCAAAACAGTACCTCTGAAACCTGAATCTTTGCAAACCATCTTTCTTGTGTTGCCGGTAACAACAACGTTAGCCTTGGGAGAGACTGTGACCTTTGCTCAGTAAAATTGATTTTCTCCTCTGTTTGAGCTCCAAGCTGCTTTTGATTTCTGTATTTTAAATGGTATCGAGTCACCGCCACCTGGTGCCGGGACATGCATGGTCTGGAAGAGCTTTCTTTTCTCATCTGATGACGGCTCTTCTGCGCCAAGTGTCATATAGCTGTCACCTTCCTCCCTACATTTAAATAGGGTTTTGTATGTGGAGTGAATGCTGGAAGGAAAATGACCGCTGATGGGACAGAGGTGGGGAAAGGATCCGGCCGTGTACTACAAACAGGGAGGGGCAAGGTTGCCAGATCAGCGGCCGATCTTCCTCCTCTCCTCAGCGTTTTGGGAGGTCCACAAGCGTGACATGAGACAGGCACCTACATCCTTTCATAAACCTCGTGGCCTGGAGATGGGGAGAAACGAAGGTCGTGAGTTTTCCAGAAGTTAAGCTTCTGCCCAAGGACCCCGGCATCTGTGAAGGGAATTAGATATGTTGCAGGCTGGGTAGTGACAGGCGAGGGGTAGGTCACTTCCAAGAAGCCCAAAATGAGTTCACTCCTTAAACTGCACGTTATGTAAGGGAGGAAGGGGAACCTCCCCCCACTCCCTTGTGTAAGAAGGGGTGCAGGGGGACCGGATGGCCCCCAGGAGGAAAGTGAGGTGCAAGCGGGGCAGCACGTGAAGCAAAGGGGCAAGTTACGCAACTTTCACTTGATTGAGAATTGTGCTTCAAATCTGCAGAAAACAGCACGTTGCTCGCCTCGCTCCCTAGGCAGAAAGGCACAGCTTTACAACCTCCTTTTATTGTTCTGCTGATAAGCAGGCATTTCACATTTCTGACACTAAACAAAATGTCCTTTAGAAAACTCAGTTGGTGCCATGGCCTTTTCCAGCTGGAACATTATAACCAGAGCCTGGCCGGCCAGCGAAGTTTTCACCCCAGAACAGGGTGCCTCAGCTGTGGCTGGCCAAGGTATTCCGGCTAGAAAGGGAAAAAGGCTGCTGCAGGAGCAGTCGGCTTCAGCTCCTGCTTCCCCCCTCGCCCAGACGGGCAGCAGTGCAAACACAGTGCAAACTTCCCAACCCTCCGGGCAAGCTGGCTTGGCGTGCGCCCGGGAGGACTCGCTGAGCGCATGACTTTGTCCGACCGCGCACAACTTTGTATTTCCATTCTGCAAACACTGACTGCTAGCCAAAGTTTAGGCCTGCTCTGCTTATTTTATAAGACCCCCCGACTGTGACCCATTACTGTTACAGGTTCCTACTATAAACAGCTAGAGAGTGAGACAATCTTCCTTCTCTGGCCAAACCCCCCAAGGGTATTTCTGCGTGTCACAGACCTGCCCGGTGCCCCCAGTCAAGGGGTTACCCCTTCCTGGGGAATCCCACCTCCTGGCCTGGCAATCCCCACGGCCTGAAATGACCCATCCGGGCCACCGGCAGCTGAACATGAATTTGTTTTTGCATCACTCGAACAAGCAACAGGAACAGCTTGATTCTGGCCAGCCTCAAGATCTGAAAGCAGAGCTATCAGAAATCGCTGAATCAGAGGATATGGATCTCTGACAACAACAATATTTATGAATCCTTACCAAAAATTGCTGAAGATGTTTTTGTTTTTAAAAAAAAAAAAAAAAAAGAGCGAGCGAAGAATAGCACCTTCAGAGGTCCCTGCGATATGTTTGTACTTTGTTACTCAAAGGAAACATGCGTGCCATTTTTGCCAGCTAACAAAATACTTTCTAACAAGGCATTTTGACAAAGCTGAAAATATCTTACACCGACATGAGTCATTTTGGCTTCAAATGCACATCTTAGAAAAAGGAATCTGAGGAAAAAAATCTCTTTTAAGTAAGTGCTGGCATGAAGTACGGTCTGTAAGTGACAGGCCCGGAAAGGCTACGCATATTTGTATTCTATACAGAAGCGATAGCTATCTTTCAACCCACACAACTGCTTTCTGGTTTTTCTTCTTTTTTTTTTTTTTTTAAACACCAAGAAGCCAAAAAGAAAAATCACCCAATTTCTTTCCCAACTTTTGGATACTGATAGTTTATCACTTCAGTGGGCTACAATTACTTTTTATATGTAGCCAGGTGACCTCTGCTGGTAGATTCTTATCATAACTGCAATAATTCACACATACAGGTACAGATACATTGGTATTCTGGAAAGTGCTGCCCTACATACACAAGAAGACATAATACACAAGAAGATGCTCTGAAAAATAAACTCCCACGCTGAAAAGGTGTAAAAAAAAAAAAATAAATTGTATAACCCAGCTTTCTCCACTCACAGATGCTTTATAGGGCAGTTTTTAGAGAACCTTTGATAAAAAGGTACGACCACCTCAGGATGGGGCCACTGGTGTTTATTCTGCATAATGGTCTAAATGCTCAGTATTGCTCGGAAAGCCCCTGAACTTCATGCTGCTAGAAACAGGAAGGTTATTCCGAGGAAAGGATTAGGCTCCGCTTGCATTCCTTCCTTGTACTCTTCCTCGTACCATCTGCTAACAGCCGTTGTGGGAGAGAGGATAGCAGTTAAATGGACCTTTATTCTGACTCAGCACGGTTGTTCGCTATGATATGGCAGCACAGTATAATCCGATACTTTAAAAAAAATAGCCATTCACCTGAGAGATCACAATGCAGTTCGCCGTTAACAGCCTTGGTCTTTGTGATATCCAAGGTCATTTCTATTATTACAGCACAGTGCACGGAAATACCACAAATACCAAGAGAGTCTTATCTATTTATCATAGGTGAAATTGGCACGCTTCGCAGCACGACAGCTCCACGTCGGATCGCAGGCATTCGAGTTCACTTAAGTTTATATTCAGAGGCTGGCTCTCTCAGCTAGGAGCTCAGCGGATTTCACGCATCTATGTGTCTACAGTGGCATTGCCACAGACACTTCTCAAGTGTCCCGCTCCCACGCTTGACAGCTACGGCACCTCAGCACCAGGCAGCAAACATAAACATGCTGGAAAGAAAGCTCACCCGGAGCTCACCCTCGCCGGAGCTGGCAGTAGGAGCCAAAGGCAAAGGCTGGGCACGGGGCTTTCCTCCTCCTGACCACGCATCCCTGGCTTTGCACGCCTGCTGCTGCTGGCATGGCCCGGACCCCAAAACGTGCTGGGGGCGTGGGGGGGTGGGGTGGGGTGTAGGGTGTCAGAATCATAGAATGTTTTGGGTTGGAAGGGACCCCTAGAGGTCATCCAGTCCAACCCCCCTG